GTAATTGAAAAAGAGAAAAGAAAAGTCTTATTGTGGCATTTTATTAATGCGGTGTGAAGCACAATCGCATTCTATAATAAACTGTGTGTTTTCTTTCTACGAGAATTGTATCATTTTGTGTAACATTATCTCAAAAACTATAGCTTGTGCCTTGAAAATTGAACCGCGTGTACAGAGCGGTGTATTTGAATTAATGAATGACATATTTTGAGTCCTTGTAGATGTACCAGTTCATAATTAGGACATTCAAAAGTAGGTAATTCAATCGTTTGAGACTTGTAATTTTTTTCAAAAAAACGATAATTAATCTGAGTCANGATAAATGAGCTATTTTAAGTCTTTGTCGGTGTTCCAGTTCATAATTAAACGTTCGAAAGTAGGTGATTCGACCGTTTGCGACTTGTAATTTTTTCAAAAAAAACGATAATTAATCTGAGTCATACATATTCAGGCGCATTTATAAGAGAGTACGTTCCCATAATATATGACCATATAACAACTGATTATTACCACAAATACGTATATTACACACAAGTTGAACTTAAACAGTAATACTGGAACCCTATATTTCTATTAAACCCATCACTAGAAAATCATAAAACACATTAGAACAGGTTGCTTCGTACCGCATTCGCATCTCTTGCAGAGGATGAGTACCCGCTAGTTTTCGTTTTTGAATTATTAGAAGAAGACTACAGTTCACCGATTCTGTTTTAATCTATTGCCTTACATAAGTATGAACATTATGATGAATGTTTTTGATATTGTGCCACTCGAACTACTTTTACTAACATTTAGTAATTTGTCGAAATGCCGATGGATTTTCGATAATTGCGAAATTACAAGGACTTACGCCAATAGCAAAAACAACGTGAAATTCGACAATTTGTCTAAAATATTGAGTAAAAACGACAATGGCGGAATTCCGATGGCGAAACTCCAGTTATCGGTCTTCCCTTTTACATCATCAAGGATATGTCATTTTATAGAACTTCACCTTTGTCTTGAGATCATATGCTGTGTTTGTGATAAAGTGGAAGAAATTTGAAATAAAATTTTTGTTTCTACACTCTTTATACATCATAAAGACGCTTTTTTTATGAGAAAACAATTTCACGGACAAGCGTGATATCAGTACAAATATGTGACGAATAAATCTCACATAAAAACGAAAATCATGTTAACGTTCTGTGTCGAAACACTTTAAAACATATTTCGAATGAGTATATTTCATGATTTAATTCATACTAAGTTTCATACAAATAAATACTAAAAGTTTTGCTAATCATAGCACCGTGCGAAGCTTCATTTCATAGTTTTTTGACTTAATTTCCTTCACAGTACACCTGTTCAAGAGACGCGTGGCAGCACATGTAGAAAGAATAAATGAAAAGCTTTTATTATATGTTTGCACAATGTCTTAATATAGCCCGTTTACTCAACCTTTTTTTCGTTCTTGTTTCTTATATAACATCATGAATCAGGAGAAGCGAAATATACATTGTCATTATTACAGTCATAATGTTACATATATTTGAATTTACTTGTTTATTACAATAGAAAAAGAAAACCATGTCTACACCTAAAATTATTCGATTCAAGTTAACAAACGGGGATACATTTGGCATTTTTCTCGACAATTTAAACAAATATCCTGACACATTTTTGTCAAAATTAGTCACAAACGAAGGCATTTTTCATTCAAGAACAGACTTCGATGGAGATTGTTTTGTTTTGGATGAACATTCTCAGATATTTGATTCTATTCTACAATTTTATCGATACGGTATTCTTGAGCTACCAGATCGATTTGATTCTGTGAAACAAGATATTATTGATAAATACTTGTTACCGGTTGAACTTGTTAGTAATCAGTTATCATCAGAAAAAATTCCATTTTACATCACTGTACATGATTGTCAAATATTTGGAAAAGAGTCGGGCGTGTTAACTACAACTGGACCGCCCGTAAACACCATTTCAGAATTAATGGAATGCCCATTTTCGATTATGTCTGATGTTTATATTAAAACTCATTACATGAATGTTGTAAATTATTTGAGTACAAAAGGCTATATAGTGGAACTATGGAGTGGACATGAGCATGCCACCGTCATGATGAAAAAAATGAAGTAGACACGATTATTCATTGAAAAAGAATTTGGAACAATTCTGGAAGATTTTACGAAGCAAAAATCCTGTATTCCATCTGATAAAAACAAATGTTTCTAAAAGAGAAATCTTCGATGCGGTTCTTGATCTATCTTTAAAGATTTCTCAAGTTTCGTTCCAGATACTCTGAAAAAAATTGTGCCGATTAATCGGATTAAAGTGTTTTTTTCTACTAACTGAATACTACAGTTTAAATTCTACAATATATAAACGGTATTAGAACTGTTAAAAGTGCATGAACATAATGTTTGAACTCAATGTTCTATGGTGCAAATATTGTCTGTTATATAGGTCTATTTATGAAGAATTCAAAATAAAACAGTGATTGCAAGAATAATCTGTTCTTTCGCCAATCAAACAGATCACCAGAAAAATAATAGAGTTTGTTTAGACGAGGAGATTTTTAAGGTGGCAACGTAATTCGTGACACGACTCTTCCGCGGATTTTCGAAAATACAAATTTATGTATTTGTGGCACTGTGTGATGGGAGGTGGAAGTTGCGGGCAGTCACAGTCCGACATTTCCGCGAACGACATGAAACCTGAGTGAAGTTTATGTGGTGAATAGTCCTCGTGTAATACAGTTACAGATATACAGTTTCGCATCATGCCAATATGTTTTTTAGTAACTACTTTTCGAACACACTCTCACACTGCTAACAACCCCATCTGGCCGCAGTGGGTGGAAAAAAAGTGACACATGAGGTGTCCGATGAGAATCAGGTACCTAATTAAATTAGGCTAATTTTAGAAGAAAGCTTAGTTATAGAAACTTTCGAAACGGGAATCGCGTAAGGGATTCATACAGTTGAGATATAGGTGCTGAAAGGTATGAAAATCACATATTTTTCATAGCGCTTTAATTGCATCGCAATTGCGCCCGCACTGTGAATTCAATGGGAGTTACAATTGGGCTCACCATCAGCATAGTGCGCGCAATTGTGTCGCAGCAAGCGCATTATGTCACATTTGCGCCGCAATAGGTAAAAACGTGTCATATGGGTTAGTAGCAGAACATGATTCCCATAGCAAACACTTCTTATCAAGTCAGAGTTAAAGTCGGCGGCGCGCTTTGTACACCTTCTTCAAAGAAAATAAGCAAACTTGTAGTGCTTGAGAATTACTTTAGTAAATCAGTAGATTTCAGATCTAGGCTCACTGTTTCCTACGTTTCTCAAATATTACACTGTACTTGCTGATAATTAAGATCAACTCCTTTTCTACTAGTTGTGTATCACATTAGAGTGATGTACGCTGAAGCACTTACGTTAGAAAACGACAGAGATATGATCGCGCCGCGTTCAAATATTTAAAAACTTCCTTCAGGCAAGGCGACCATACCCGTGAAATCAAAAAAATTTAGACTTTTTACAAGGTCAAGAAATATGCTCAGTATAAATATGTGTTTTAAACATCTCTCTTTTCTGTCTGTGTCTCGATTTAAGGAAACCAAACATCATATTCAATATTTTTTCAATGTGAATAAATAAAAGTAGTTATAAGGTACAAATAATGGAAACTTGGAGCAAAATTTTTTTCGAACTTATTATACATCCTTCAATAGAGCGTTTCATGCTGATCACGAATATATACTTTTTAAGTTTTCGAAATATTTTTTTCATGTCGAAAAATCGAATACACTCGAAAGTTCTGAAAATCGAAAAATCCGAATTTCCGTTTTGTTTGACGATGCGGACTTTTTAAACTATAGTTTTTCTGATTCAGCATTGAAAACTGAGTAGAAAAGTGGTATTTGATGAATGCAATTAAAGGGCCGTCCAACTTTACCCAGCCTCTACGCTCGGTAGAAGGAATTTTGCTATGCTATCTACCTTTTTGTTGCAAGAGACCAAGCCGTAATTTACACATCGTCAGAACCGCCAAAAGCTCAGCTTTAAAGGTACAACTTGGCTTTTTCGAAATTCGTTTTTGTTGGTGAGAAAATTCATTTTTTCCGAATGAGGCGAAAAAGTAAGAATTCTGCCCGTAATTCTCAATTTTCTTCGTTAGAATTAGACTTTCGTGCAATAAAAATATCATATTCGGAATCAGGATGGAAAACTGAGTCGATTGATGTAAATCTCTATTGCGTTCGACTACTTTAATTGTTGTCGAATTTTTACGTTGAAAAATTATCGAGGTTCCCATCAAGCAGTGAAAATCAAATACAAGTTTCGCAATAGACATTAATCGACGCAGTTTGACATCCTGATTCTGAATATGATATCGCGCAAGTGCAAAACATTATTTCTTTTTTACAAAGAAAGAGCAAGTTTTCTATATTCATCTATTACATCGACATAGGAATGAGTGCTCTGCAGATGTATTTTGCATTCTGCCAATTCCACGGCTCAAATTCAAATTACTTATCGGGCAATCCGTTCCAGTTTTGACATTGCTTTGAAGTACATTAGTTGGGACACGAAAATAAATGAGCCCTAATAATATTCAATATAAGAGCATTCTTTTAAAATCAATCTTAGAAGTGCGTATATATATTCGTCATCAGAATTCAAAACTGAGGAACTTACAAGCGGTGTATCTGTAGCATATATGTCGTTTTGGTCAAAAGGAATATCCATATGTTCATACAATCGGTTTAATGATTATATGGGATTTTAAAACTGTTCCACAAAAACTGGTCAAAGAAAAGGAAAAGGTAGACCAAAAAAAAGCAAAAACAACTTTAACAAAAGATTAAGAAAACATTATTATTATTATTTTGTACTTATTAAATTGCTTGATTTGGGTTTTGTTTTGAAGTTATTATGATTTGTAAAAAATTGCTATTGAAAAGAAAATATTATTCATGATTATTTATGATCACGATTATATATACACGCTTCTAAGATTGACTTTAAAAGAATGCTCTTATATTGATTACTTTTTAACAAAACTAAACTACCGGGCTCATTTCTCTCTTTTACGAAGATAAATTTTTTACTTTTGAACTGGGCTCATTCCCGTCTTTTTTTGTTAATTAAAGCAATCGGAATCAATTCTCTCTTTTTTCCGGGCTCAAAACTTATTTTATCCCATGAGTTGTACTATATACTGATGTATTTTTTAGAAAAAGATTCCTTTAAGTTTTTAAGATATAATCTTATCAGTGTCACATTATTAAGTTCGCAAAATATGAGAGTCGAGTTTTCCGTTCAATTCTAGTTATTCCATGGAAAACGAATAAACTGGAACATACAGTCCCAATGATTACCAAAATTACGTGGAGCTCAACCGATAATTCTAAATTTTTTTAAACTATGCCATAAGACAGTCCTGTCTTCTCACTCTATATTTCATATAGATGTTGATTAAAAAAATATGTCACATATACATTTTAATCAGATCTTGTGAAATTGCTCTTGTTATTTAAACTGGATCTCTCACGGTATTTATATTCCCTTGACTGAAAGTCTAGGGTCATATGAAATAAATGTCAGCGTCGGCATCGGCGTCGGCGTCCGCATGTGACGGACGTACATACATATAGTGACCAGTGAGTGTGACGGACGTACAAACATATAGTCATGTGGCAGTGTGACGGACGTACATACAGGTGATCATGTGTCGGTGTGACGGACGTACATACATATAGTCATGTGGCAGTGTGACAGACGTACATACATATAGTCATGTGGCAGTGTGACGGACGTACATACAGGTGATCATGTGGCAGTGTGACAGACGTACATACATATAGTCATGTGGCAGTGTGACGGACGGCAATGATCATTTTTCGAAAAAAGTCAGCATTAGGAACTTTTCGAACTGTGGCAAAGAACCGGGACCGGTTTCTGCTAGAGAATGGCCCGATATGATTTTGAATCAGAATGATCGCAAATGCTTCCGTTTTCAGTTCCCAACACTTTCCTACCGAAAAATAAAAAACAAAGGAGTTCTTGTGATTACGAAACACTGTACTGCATAGAGAACACCCAAACGCTTCTTGTACATATCTTTAATGACTGGTCCCACCTGCCTGGATATTCTGACCAGCT